GGTGTGAAGACATTCGATTATAAAATTTTACTATGTAAATTCGAATTTTACTATGATGCAGATCATCCAAATTTTACAACCTCCTATAGATCGGCGGGAAATGTCCTGTGACTGATAATAATAAATATTATTTTTACTTATTGTTATTCACTTTTTATAACGTCAATCTATTTATTGTCCAACTGAAACCTTAATTACTTATTATTTTTATATTAATAATGAAACTAACGATGTTAATATTAATTGTAGTAAATATGTGTTGAAAGTGTTATTGACTCGTGTGTGCTCGTTCTAACATGTGTATATATTACAGATCGTCCGTTTTTTTAAAAAAGTTTTTCTATATCCAGTTTAAGATGAATTAAGAGTATCGTTATTCTTACATGTAGTTTGAGGTGAGCCTGTATGATTTTTTCTGTAATAATTAAAACGACGAGAATGTTTTATTTTCAATACAACGGAATTAAAATTAAATTGTTGCAACAGAAATTGTCTAAAACACTGTATATTTCGAAGAATGATAATCAAAAAAAAAAAAAAATTAAAAGGATTTGGCTGTTTCACGAAAGTAAAAGCGTTGTATAAAATATTCAATATTCAATGATGAATGATGAATGCCGAATAGTCAAGTGCTCGTTTTTTTTAAAACGTATTTTTGGGGAAGGTTAAATTTCAAGGTGTTTATTATCGGAAATGTTTTCTGAATGTCTGGATTTTGATTCATGAGAATGATCGTCGCCTTTAAAAAAAAGTTTTAAATCCAACTGGAGTTGACTATGTAACTATTTCTATTGCCCGTTAGGTTGGATGATCTGCCTTTTGTTCAAACTAAATAAAACCAGGTCTCGAAATTATTCGGACCTTCCTTATGTGCAACGTTATATACTTAATTTGGTATGAATTTAAATTAATTTCCTTATTTCCTTCCAAAGGTAAGTTTATCATTAATAATAATATATTTTATTACTTAAAAAAATATACGCTATCAATGTATATTTTTTCAACAAAATAAACATTTAAATAACTAATTGTTAAATAATAATACTTTTCTTTTTATTAAGAAATTTTTTTTAGATAAATTGGAAAAGCTATATTCACACAACACACACATCATACATATATACGTTATACATTATACATGTATTTTTTTATTTAAAGATATTTATCTGGTAAATAAAATCATATAAAAAAAACCAAATATAAATAAAGAAAAGATTAAGATAAAACAAGTGGTTGATTAATTTATGTAGAAATGAAAACAGTATCAACGTTGATGTCAATTTATTTACTTCATTTCATATTAAGAGCAACACTTATACCCAATTTAATTACAATTGTAATTTTGGAATAAATGCACAAGAATCCTGATAATGCTACTACTACACCCACAACACCTGTAAATACACAACCACCACCCAAAGTAACTTAATCTGTACCTCCTACTATAACACCAGAAGATACTACAACATTAGATGATCCAGTTCTAATAACTCCAAAAATTTCAAACACATACCACATCAAAAAGTCAGCTAGTGATTCAAACTTCACAAGAAAATCAATAACCTACAGTAACACAAAAATTCACAATATTTAGTATAAGTAACTCAATAATCTTCAACAGCATCACTGTCATTATCCAGCAAATCACTAATAACTATAACTGCCACATTGAATCAACGTTACCCCTGATTTATTTTTTTTATTTTTAAAAAAATTTCCCCTTGTTGATCATCTCAATAACATTCCTTCTGCAATAGCTAAACTCAGTAGGATAACTATAAAAGAAAATGAACAATTAAATGTAAAATATACTGTATGTTTGCTATTTTTAATTTAACATGTGTTTTTTTATTATAATTAGCACAACAAATTATAATTAATAAATTTTTGTTGAATGGTAAATAAAAAAAAACCTTGGAATTTAATCAACACCCCAAGTAATAATCATATGAAATCTAGGGTCTTCTGAAGCAATAATTCATGACGCGGGGCATAATAATAATTCGTGATTCAAAGCATAATTCGTGACACAAGACATATAGTTTGTGACGCGAAGCATAGTTTGTTAGTTCTTATTATAATAATATTGTAATCGGCAAGAATTAAGTATAATTACAGAAATCTATTTAAACATAACATTCAACTTATTGCATTGCATATTGTCTACCATCTACAATTTTTATTTCCTTCTACATCCTCCTTCACCTTCTGATCGTGTACATATACAGTATGTGAGAAAATAGTTTCATTATTCTCATAAATAATATTTAATGGCGCATTCTTCTGACCCCAAACATTCATTTAAAATTTTCTTTCTTTAAAAACACATATATATCACCTATCAACACTTGTTAAATACTTGAACAAATACAGTTTCATGATAAACTAGAACAAATTTCATCCATCCTCTCCATCATCTTCTATTTTTTTGTAATAGTAATTTCATAATCATGTTGACACAGATTGCATTTATAATTTGATTCTAATTTAAAATTAAAAAAATAAAACTATTAGATTAAGAAGCTAGAAGTTGTCAGGTATATTTGAAATATTTGAACTTGAATTTGGTTCATTTTTATAATTATGTATGTATATATAGTGGGACGATTTGGTAGACAATGTAAAGAGCATATACCAAAAATAAATAAAAAATTTTTTTTCCAAGGAAAATTAGTTTTTTATGAAATACAAAGTATTGCTAAGGATTATCATCTGTAAAAAAAAATTATTTACTAAAAAAAAAATGATATATTTACTTATTACTATATGGTGAATTAATCTACTTTTTGCATCGTACTATGTTAAAAAAAAATTAATGCCTTGGAAGGACAACAAAAAAAAAAAAATTCGGATATATAATAATAAAAAGGTTTTTTACTTTTCCTTCTTTAAAACTTTCGTTTCTTTATTAAAAATTACAAAAAATAAATAAATTAAAAAAAAAGTATCGCAATATATTTTAATTTATTTTTTTATCCCAAAATTTCTCATAATTAATTAATTCTTTTTAAAAATGGCAGAAAATAATCATAATAATGACCTTATAGAAATAGTGACAGAGAAACCAAATAAAGTTTCTACTAAAAATCCAGCTACAAATAATATAAATGATGATGTCATAATCAACACACATAACGGATGTCCCATTACTCAAATAAGGTACAGCCCTAATTATAAATTTTTTGTAACTTTAAAACAAGATGGATCCATTTCAGGATGGACAGTTGATCATGAAAAAGGAAATATCCAACAAGATAATCAAGATAATTATTTTAAATATTCTGATTGGACGGGTGATTTGAATTATACAAATTATATAGATATAAAAGATGTTTCAGATAATAAATATATACTTATAATGAAATCATATACATATAGTAAGTAAACATAAATGTATTATATTATTTATAAGTAAATAATAAATTCACATCAGTTAATTTTCTAGAATTGCTTGACTTTTCAAAAAAAAAATATTGTGATGTTACAATTAATGATGAGAGGTGTCGATTTCAAAATGGGGGCTTTGTTACAAATAATGATTTAATAATGTTAAATAATTATGGCTATTTATACAAATTTTCATATATAAGCGATGACAATAACAAAAATATTAAACTATTTTGCAAATCAACACACTACATTTACAATTATTATAATGAATGGCCTATTGATTTTTTTGTAAATTCTGATTATCTTCTATTAAATTGCTATTCATCATCATTATCACTATGGAATTCAACAACTATGTCATATGTGGATAATTGTTATTTAAAATATAAACATGGTAAACGTGGTTATACTAGAATAATATTTAACCATAACAAATCAATAATGGCATTTTATAATGTAAGCAATTCAGAAATAATAGTTCATTCATTAAAGGATAATATTACTATTTCTTCATGCAAGTATCTGTAATAGGAATTTATCTTCTTTCTTTTTTCTTTTATATCAATACATTAGCTAACTATGCTTATTTATTTTTCATTTTACAGTTAAATTGGAAAAAAATATATCTATTAAAAAATTTGATTTTATTTATATAAAAAGTCAATTTGAATATTTATTAATAATATTCTATCACAGAAACAAATACAATTGTAAATTATTGGACCCCTATAATTCTATAGGTATTGTAGATTGTTTTAATGAGTGCATATATGAAGATAAAAAAGATGTTATATTTGGTCCAATCATATCAGATAATAAACTAGTTATGGCTATTGATAACCAAATTTACATTAAAAACATTATCAACAAAGAAAAATTAGACAATGTTCAACAAGTATATGTAAAAAATAGGTATTATTTATATATAGGGCAAATCTTAAATGAAATATTTGAAAAAATCGTGGATGATAATTATAAAACACCAGAAGAATTTGATATTGAAACAGGAAGAACCATTAAATGGTCAGTCAAGTATGGTAACAAGCTTAAAAACATTGATATAAAAGCTCAGAAAATTAATAATGAAATAGAAGAAGGGTTACCAACAATTGATGAAAAATTTAAATATTGTAAATTACTAAATAATGATGATTTAATTTTAATAACAGAGAATTATATACGTATCTTGTCATTTTGCAACAAAAATTCTAAAATTGTTATAAAGTTTATTAAACTAATACTTGGTTTGAAGGAATTCGAAAAAATTAAATCAGCTATAGAAAACAATAATATTGAAGAATATTTAGCTGGTTTTAAAACTATTAATGATGTTTTTAAAATCAGTATGCAATTACATCAAGATTATCATGTTTACATAGAGTCTTTTAAAGAAATGATTTTATACACGTTGGATGATTCTTATAATTTAAAGTATGGAAAAGAAATCTTAAAATCAGCATTAGATAATAACAATTGCAGCATTATTGTAGAAAAAATATTTGATTGTTGCCTTAATCATTTTTTAAATGATACAAAGTCAAATATCAGTTCATTAAAAATAATTATAACAGAATTACCAAGATTACAAAAAAATCACCAAAATTTATTATCAAAATTCTTTAATCAAACTTCAATGATGTTTATTAGTCAGCGTAATCATTTTAAAGAAGGTTTTGAGGATAATATCTATGAAACATTTATTTACAAAGACAAAAGCTTTTGGGTTTTTTATGATATTTTTATTAAAAAATATAATATATTTAAGTTAAATCACACATATAATAAACCTTGTGTAAAATTGATAATTCCATATCCTGGATTGCTTGCTTACAATAATGAATATTCATCATTGAAAGAATTATTCTATAAGCCAGATAGTAGTAGTATATTTGTTGAATTAGTTGAATTGAATGCTGAAAAGCTATATAAAAATTGGAATGTTGAGCAAATCTTGGATCACAAATGGAACACTTTTGGGTTCAAATATTATATTGGAATATTGTTATTTTATATGGTATTTTTATCATGCTTTGTTTTTGCAACTTCTATTTCACCAGAAAAATTATCTGATGAAAAAAGAAATTCATTATTAATCGCAACAATTGTCCTTGGAGTAATTCATCTCACAGTAGAAGTTAGACAATTTATCTGGAAACCATTGAAATATATCACAGATTTCTGGAATTACTTTGGTATGATGTTGTCATTTTATTATTGTTAATTAATTAGTTAATTAATTTTGATCCTTTAATAATGTTTATTTAATAGACTTAGGTGCCTATTCCTTAGCAATCTCTACTTCATTCCTATGGTTGCATTATAATAATTCACCACCTGTTCAACTGATTTCAGCATCAAATTTATTATTAGATTTAAGATTAATGTTATTTTTAAGAGCTTTTAGACATTTTGGTGCATATTTTGCCATTGTTATAGGGGTTGCTAAAAAAGTTTTTTGGTTCTTAATTATAATAATGATAATCATTTTAAGCTTTTCACATGCTTTTTTTTTATTATTGAAACCAAATCAAAACGTCACATTGGACAGCCCTAATTTCAATAAGGACCTCAACAATCCTTGGAACCTTGTTAATAGATATTATACATATTTTGCAAACAGCAATTCATACAGTCAAGATTCATATCTTGTTCAGCTACCTGATGGCAATACAAATATGTTTTCACAATTTTCTTCTTCAATTCTGGCAATGTACAACTTCCTCACAGGTAATAATTATATATATTTCACCAAAATAGTAATTGAATTGAATAATTTAATTTGATTGATTTTTTATTAGGAGATAATGGAGCATTTGGATCTAGAGTGTTGCAAGATGATCCATATCTTGTAGTATTAGTGGTTGCATTTTCATTCATAGTTGTGGTTTACTTGATGAATCTATTCATTGGTTTGCTTAGCAATGAAATTGGTAATTATAATACAAATGAAACATTCATGGCTCAAAAGGCAAAAATTATCACAGAGATTGAATTATTTTATTTGCTTCCTAATCAACGTCGTTGGAGAAATTGGTTTCCAGATATATTGTAATTACAATTAATTTTTTAATCAATTAAATAACTTCTTTCACTGACTGATTATTGGATTTTTTTTTTTTTGAAAAAAATTTTTTTTTGTTAGACTCATTAAAGTACCAATTGATGTCATTCGTAAAAAAATTAAAGAAATAGATGATAGTAATGAGGATGCAGAATATCTTCCATACATTCCTGATAAGCTTAGAAAATATGTTGATGTGCCAAAGAAAAATGATCATGAAACAATAGATTTTAATTCAAAATTTCAACAGATTGAAGATAAACTTAGAAATAA